TAATTCCAACATTATAATTATTCTTAATCAACTAATTAATTAATTAATAACAATATAACAACTTATACCAACAATTCTCAACTTCTCACAACTTTTCAACAAATAATCCAAAAATAATTTAATTAAATAATTAATTAAATAAACGGGCGTTACATAAAGCATCTTGGTACTTTACAATATGAGTACCCTTTAGGGATGAAGTTAGCAAATTCTACCAATCTGGGGTAATCAAGTCGAGATTCGATCTCTCCGAGCTCAGCCTAATCTGGGGAATTCCCTCAAAGCTATCAATCAGAGGCTATCAAGCTGATATAAATATCTTTAAGTTATACTAAATCATAGGCTATCACGTCGATAAATCTCTTCAAGCTTTTGCTAATCAGTCTGGGGCAATCACGTCAAGAAATCTATCAAGAATTCATTCAACCTGGGGCAGTTACGTCGAGATTCGATAAGTCTCTCCAAGAAATCTGTAATCAAGAGCATCTTATTTCGTGACTCAAGACATTGGGGTAGACCACCCTATATCATATTGTGCCACGAACATTCCGGTCTCCCATTCAGCATAGATCATCTCAGAGATCCTCCAGACAGGGACATTCTTCATCCGTACTCACAAAGTTGCTCAAGTCAATTCTTTCATATAAGATAATAACAATCTAGCTAAAAGCATCATAACGTTTACCCTGATTGGGTCAGTACACGAAGCCACCTTCATCTGCTACAGAAAATCTCAAACCCGATTCCCCAAGTGAATTCAGAAAGTCTGGAGTCGTCGTTTGACTTGGCATGCATGAGTGCACTTCCCTCGAGAGTTAAACCGGGGCATTCGCAGAGATAAACCGGGGAATTTGCAGATGTCCATGTCCATATTTTTATCCCCAAGTGATTTAATAGGTAATTCCCCAGTGTGGCGTAAACTTGGGACATGTATTAAAAGAGATGCACATGGTGTTCAGTATGCATTCCTCGGTGCATTCAGTCCTACCATCCTCCAGATGGTTCAGGATGTAGGGAAGTTGAGCCAGATTATCTCTTCCCCAATAACACGATTTAGAATTCAGTGGCGTACCTGAAAACTTTCTTCGTCAGCAATCCAATTTTCAGCGGAGTCGTCAATAACCTTCGGTATCATGAGCTCCCCAGTGCATATTCTTATTAGTATCCCCAGTGATCCTTGGTAGTATAACTTTCCAACGCCGATATGTATTGGCATCCCTGGTGATGAGAAACTGTTCCACGAGCCTTCGCTTATCCTCATGAAGTCTATTTCTTCGTGTTGCATATAGTTATCACTGCATAACATTACATCTTCAAAAGTGCGTAGCTGATCCATCAGAATGGATCTTTGCGTCAAGAGAAATTCAAACAAGCATATGAAGCATAAGCCAAATCGGGTACCTTACACGAAAGACATGAATCATTTAAAGACAACAATACATCCCCACAAGAGGGTATCGTTCCAAAATCCTCATCCGACGTCCTTCGTTACATCACTATATCCAGCTAGTGGTGTCTCTACATTGTACTTCCAAAACATTCGTCTGTGTCAGTTTTTTAAACACTCGTTCATGTCAGCTTTTCCAAATACTCGCATGTGTCTATTTTACCTCTAGAGCCTAATAAAATAAGTACAGTCAGTCATCCTATGTACCTTCACTCGTCATGCTGTAACCAATGTTCTTATCATAGAATTTTGAGATTGCCCGTAGGCTAGGTTCTCCCTAGATTATATTAGAACCTGAGGTTGCCCGTAGGCTAGGTTCCCCTGTGATCATCTTAGAACCTAAGATCGGCCATAGGCTAGGTTCTCCATGTGATCATCTTATAACTTGAGATCGCCCGTAGGCTAGGTTCTCCCTATGACCATCTTAGAACCTGAGATCACCTGTAGGTTAGGTTCTCCATATATATATCATATTAGAACCTGAGATCTCCCGTAGGCTAGGTTCTCCCTATAGATCATCTTAGAACCTGAGATCGCCCATAAGCTAGGTTCTCCCCATATATATTGTTTTAGAATTCTGAGGTCGCCCATAGACCTAGTTCTCCGACAGATCGCTCTTATGTTTCACCTTAGGATCGTGGGTCGCCCGTATATCTTATCTGTTATCTTTTCATACCAATATTTGTCTTGTATTGGCATTATTGCTATGTTACGAGTCTATCTTTCCTTGTACTGGTATCACCGCCATGTTACAAGTCATTAGCTTTCCTTGTAATGGCACCACCTCCACGTTACAGGTCATTACCTTTCCTTGTATTGGCGTTGTTTCTATGTTACAAGTCAGCATTTCTCTTGTATTAGCCTTTGTTGCTATGTTATAAGTCCAATCTCCGTTTTCTCACTAGAAAACAGAAAAATTCTTTCCCCAGCAGATATCACAAAAATAAATAAACACTCACACTTTCTATCAAAACAAATTTTTAGCATTGGTATTTAATCATCGTCTACCTCGAACGACCGAAAGGCACGCGCCAGTCGTACTTTCAGGTTTAAGATGGTTAAATAGGGGCAACTGTAATATCCCAAATTTATCCTACCCTTTCACTTTTATCTGGCTTATGAATTTTGAAATTCTCATTACATCTGCACACCCTTTATTAGGTCATCTAACACATCATGCATCATTAATCAATAATTTGGCATGGGATCAAGGATTTCAAGGAATTAGGGTTTCCCTGTGCTTTTAGGCTCTCGTCTTCACTCAAGCTTGAACCAACTGATTCTTTCATCATTCAGGGTTTGTTTGAAGCTAGGGTTTTAATTCATTAACTCCTATATCACCAAGCTACAATGACATCTTCATCATGGGCTTTTAAGCCATCAAGGTGCATCTCAAGGAATCTCAGGGTTTTGTGATCATCATCACTCACATGCTTCTAATTGTTCCTATCTACAAGGTTTTCCTCGTGACATTTGCTTCAAGATCATTGGTTATCAATTGAGGTGCCTTTGCAAAGTGAATTACAAGGTTTATATCATGGTACAAAGGTGATGTTGTGGACATGTAATGTGATCAAAGTATTGTTATTATTTGTTGCTTGAAGTACAAAAGGTGGATTTGAGATGGAATTTAAGAGTTTTGGAAAGGAGGATAGATTGATTTGGTTTGGTTCTTATAGATTCAATATTTAGAATCATTTGAGGTGTTACCTAATGTTATGGGTTAAATTTGTTTGAAATTCACAAAGTAAGAAGTGCACTTAGACTTCTTGAAGAACAAGTGAAGTTATAAAACATTAACAAAACATGTTCATGGCATTAAGCTAGATTCAAGTTGAATTCAAGATGGTTGTATCCAGACAAGATTTATTCAAATGTCATCCATAATTCTCAAGACAAGCTCGTGAAATTAAATAACTTCATTCAATATTATTCTTAATTCCGTACAAACATTTCAATAATTCATGAGAATGGAGAATCATTTCACTGTTTGAGGGAAGAATACGAAGCTATTGTTACAAATACAAGCCATTAAACCTCTATCATATTACTTTCACAAAAGGAGTTCCAAATGGAAGTTTCAATAAAAATTACAAGAATTTTTTAAGAGGTCCACAAAACCTAAACATGTGCTAATTCATCAAGTGTTTCTAACCCTAATCTCCAAGCTTTCAATCCCCCAAACTTCATTCAAAATCCACTCCATTCTAAAACACTAAACTCCAACGTGTTCCTTTGAGCACACCATGTATAAAGCTGCAAACTTACTGCACAAATGGAGTGAGAATCCACAAGCTTTCATCACCATGAACTCGTAAAACAGAAGCAAGTTGAATATTCGATTCAAATCTGATATGCATCTTTGTTCACATCTACACCGATTATGCATATAAGGTGAAAATAATAAATCTGCATTAGTTCACATAAAATAAATCAGTACAAAGCCTGAAATAGTTTCACATTAATATTCAACTCCAAACTGCCCTACACTTTATGTATCCATATCCAAAATAGAAAAATTAGTTACCACGAAATTAACCACATAACTAACCTTTGTTAAATAGCAATTTCCAAGAGTTTTTTAGACTATCTAACAGAAAAAAACCAACAGAACTAACAAAAATAACCATCTCAACTACCTTAAACCAGCTAACTTGCAATAGAAACCTTATAATTAACTTCTACATCTAACATAATTTCAGCAACCTACTAACAAAACTCCTCAACAGTAAACAAAATTCCATAACCCCTAACCAACTCTCTAACTGTCTTAACCGATTTTGCGAGCTCAATTTTTAACAACATAACAAACTTCTATTGATAAGATAACATATTCAGAGTTACATAGAGATTCATTCGCAGTTATTCAATCAGAAAAATCACATAGAGAAAAGAGAAAAAAATCACCAAAGGAAACTCACCAGAAACAACAATAAACTCTCTGCACAATTGAGTGCTTCATCATGTTATCTCTTGAATCTTCGATCATCTTCAAGTTTCTCCATGATCTCCATCATCTCCATAACCAATTCTTCACAATATCATCAACAATCATCATTTATAAATCTCTCTACATTTGCATCTTCTTCAAGTATCGGCATCAATCTTTATTGCTTCATCTCCGTCATTCATTCTTCATCCGTAAATCAAGAATAACATTATCATATAGCAATAACAAGGAATCCACGACGAAAAGTGAAATATAAGTTGAAAATGGAATCTCAAAAGTATTAGAAATTGAAATCGAAGAGGGAACGAGAAAGAAGAAGAAGCATAGGTATAGTACGTACCTGAGTTCATGATGAAGGATTTCCGGTTGGTGAGTTCTCGACACTTGACTATGCAGTTTCAGTGGTTCTTTCGCATAGAGTGAGAGTTGGAATTGCTGACAGAGCAGCGTCGAACATGAATTCGCAATGAAAATGATGATGGGACCGAAGGAGAGAACATCAAAATGGAAGAGTTATAATAGAGGTCGAAGCATGGTAATAGATGACTTCATGTTCAACATGGCGGCGTCATGTTAACAGAATGAAACGAAGCTCCGAATCCGCTACAACGCGGTCAAAGACGATTCGGCTAATGATTCAAAGAGAGGTGCAAGGATGAAATTCAGTGGCAGAAGAGAATGAAGGTGTTGTAACTGGATTTAAAATTCGAGTCGCCACTCTTAATTTTTATCCAAAGGAAGGGAATATAAAGGATAATCTTAAATAAGTTTGAGATTTTAGGTTTTTTGGACTCGGTTTTAGACGAAAGGAAGGTGTTAGGCACCTCTCATCTACCTTGTTCACAAGGATACTAGGGTTAGAAGCACAATTTTTAAGAAATAGGTTTTTAATTTTTTATTAGGGGATCTCGCCACGATTTTAGTCGTATGCCTATGTATCCTCTTAAGAGGAATCATAATCCCATTTCGTAGTTTACAGTTGGTTGATGTTTTTTATGGATTGTGTCGAATTGATTTTGCATTATCCTTGAACCCTGTCTGAGTTATAAAAATTGTGTGAGTGTAGACGCAGTTCACAATTAATTTCTAAAGAAATTCTCCTTAATCTTTTTTCAAAAATAATCTTGAGTTTTTGATTATGTTAGTTGAAAAATATTTTGATGTTGGTTAGTTATAGTGAGTTTCGATTTAATAACTAGTATAATAAGACCCAGAACGGAGAGTCTTATATAGTCTCCTTATCACGTGATCAGATATTGACCACGTGTCATTCACGAATGTGATATTTGGTTAGTCGCGTGGATTTTAATATCTTTTTAACTGTTGAATTAATTTTGTTTTATAAAAGAGGTTTGAGTTAATTGGGAGAATTCAATAATGTGTACAAGGAAGTTATTTTTTTGTTTGTTTTTTTTTATAGATGAAATGGGTTAAAAAAACTAACTAAGTAAGTTGAATAAGAAACTAAAATCACGGGGTGTGAGTTGGAGATGGGGTGGTGAATTAGTAAAAGCCAAAGCCCAAAATTATGTCCACTAAAACTCTAGAATTAACCCTAAGTAAACAATTATGATTAACTAAATAAAAAATCACATAAGAACAACACCATTTAACTCTCGGGCGGTGGATCCTCTTTGTAAACAAGGGATGGACTTTCAAATTTTACCTCCAACCAATTAGATCCCGCCACTTGTCTGTTAGTTTAATAAAAAAACAAAAAAAACAAGACAAACCACAATATATTTTTATATCTAAACACTCAGCCTTTAATCTCTTTCTATGGTTTCCTCTCATTCTCTTTCTCACAGAAAATTCTTATCTTAGAAAAACATCACAATTTTTTTACTCCACTAAATACAACAAACACAATCCTTAGCTTTAAAAGAAACAAAACATAGTCAAGTGAAAGTTAAAGAAGAACCTTGAGGTGATGAAGCGGAGAGAGTGGTCGTGGTTACGTGTCGGCTTGGTCCGGTGATGTCACAATAGTAGTGGCCGGAGCGTGTGAAGCTGGTTGTGCGGGTAAAGGGTGCATGATTCTGCGGCGGGTCTGGTGGGCTATTGTATGGTGGCGCTATTGTGAAAAGCAGTTGCATGGTGACAATTCACGTGCGTCGGTGGAGTATCCCATTGTGGCTGAGCGTTAGATTGACGGCATGTAGAGGCACTCATCGGTCAGCGGCTTTTGCAATGACTTGCTCCAGATTGCAGGGAGCTTCGTAGACGATGGTCGGAGGGTCAGCGGTGTTTTACATGGTGGTTGTTAGATCCGTGGAGGTTGTCTTTGATTCATCCTCTGTTTCTTTTTCCATGTTTCCTAAAAAAAACTCTAATACAATAGTGAGTTTATGGTTTTAATGTTTGCTTTGAAATTGTTTTGAAAATTTATGATGTAGAATATTGTTATGCTTTTAACATTTTTACAGGTTATGGTTTTAAAAGAAATTACATGGTTTAATGAATTTTTTTACATGAATATTAATGATGAATGTAATGGTGGTTTACTATTTGAGAAATATGAATAAGATTTTGAAAATGATGGTGAAAATTGATGTTTTGTAAAAATTGGAAAGGTTAGTGTAAAAGCAGTGTCAAAAAGCAGTGTCAATAAACGTGTATGAGAATCATTAGTGTGAAAACTATGTACAAGAGTTTTGATAGTAATTAGTGTGTGAATTTGTACGTGTATGTCAGTTTTGTGAAAAATTGTGGCCTGCAGGGTTTTGTGCCGTGTGTGAAATTGGCCTCCAAAAAAATATAATTAAATAAACAATATATTTAACTAATAAATTTAAAAGAACCACCGTCATGTTCATTATTTGGTGTGAACAAATTAAAATAAAAAGGGGTCTCATATATAATCATTGGTTAAGAATAAAAAAAATTGTTTTTGTCTGATATAGACAACAACTCTAGAATATACTAAGAAGAAATTATAAGAGTTTGAAAGAAAAAAAAGCAAGTTTTTGTGGATTTATGGATCGTTGATGAATTGTGGATTTATGTATTTGTGGTTATTGTGTGTGTGAGAAATTGTGGATGAATTGTGGGTTAATTCTGGATGGATAATTAGGACAAACTAAGGTCCTATTTATAGGCTTAAGATTAGGTTAAGAATACTTAACAATTAAGTTAGCCCAAAATGTATAAAAAGTCCAAACCCGATTTCCAAAAAAGGAAAGAAAATTAGCAACAAAAAGAAATAAAAAAAAAGTTAAAAGTGCTCCACAAGAGATTCAAACCCACCCACAACCTTATACTTGCAAACTTCATTCTTTATCAGTTGTGCTATGTTACTCATTTCTAAATAAACTCAATTGAAAGTATATGAAAGATGTGCAATTATTTATTTATTCAAAAATACAAATGATATGAAATAAATCATTATATTTTTAAATAGGTTTGGAAGCGAATATTTATAAAAATCAAATATTATAAAAACAATGTTTAAAATATTTTTGACTGTAGAAATAAAGGGCAGAAAAATTTAGGGTATGACAACTGCCCCTATTTAATTATCATTCGATTGAATAGTGCGAGAATACGCAGGTCTCACACGTTCTGATTGGAAGTTTATTAAATATTGGAAGACTCCAAAGTTTGTCCAAAAGATTACAAGGATACGTTGTACAGTGTTCCCACGAGTGTGAAGAATAGTCATAGATGATGATGTATCATCTTACCAGCATTTGAACCAAAGTTGATTTGACTTAGATATGACGCAGCGGATAAACCGTCAATATCTAAGAAAATATCGTTTGCATATTTACCGTAACCTAGGAGGTAAAATAATATAATTTTTACAAAGTTGACTTACTAACGCTTGGAGACTAATATAGTAAGTTTTAGTTTGATTTGATCTTGTTTATTCATCATAACCTAAGGGATGGATAAAATAAAGTCTGATAACATATTGCTGCATGGAGACTGATGCAATGGATTATGAAGGTTTATTCACATATCTATCGCAACCTAAGGGATAGATATTTGAAAAGGAGCTTGATAACAACATCGCTGCATGGAGACTGACGCAAAGGGTTATATCGCTGAAAAAGCTTGATAACAACATTGCTGCATATAGACTCACACAAAGGTTTATGTCACAGAAAAAGCTTGATAACAACATTGCTACATGGAGGCTGAGGCAATGAGTTATATCAGGGAAGAAACTTGATAACGACATTGTTGCCTGGAGACTGATGCAATGAGTTATATCAAGGAAGAAACTTGATAACGACATTGTTGCCTGGAGACTGATTCAATGGGTTATATTGAGGAAGAAACTTGATAACAACATTGTTGCATGAATTCTGATGCAATAGATTAAATTGTGAATTTCACACATTACTGCATGGAGCCTGACACAATGAGCTATATCGCAAAGAAGGAATATACTACTGCATGGAGACTGATGCGATGGATTAAATTGCTAATTTCGTACATTGCTGCATGGAGCCTGACACAATGAGCTATATCGCAAAGAAGGAAACAAATTGTTGCATGGATCCTGACACAATGAGTTTAAATTGCAGATTTGACACATTATTGCATGGAGCCTGACACAATGAGTTATATCGTAGAGGAGGAAACACATTGTTGTGTGGAGACTGACACAATGAGTTGAATTGCAGATTTTGCACATTGTTGCATGGAGCCTGACACAATAAGCTAGATCGTAGAGGAGAAAATAAATTGCTGAATGGAGACTGATGTAATGAGTTGAATGGCGGGTTTCTCACATTGTTGCATGGAGACTGATGCAATGGATTAAATTGCGAATTTCTCACATTGCTAGATGGAACCTGACACAATGAGCTATATCGCAAAGAAGGAAAACACATTGTTGCATGGAGCCTGACGCATTGAGTTATAATGTAGAGGAAGCTGTTTTGATGATTCAAATATTATATAACTAAATCAGAGATGAGATCGGATTTTTACCAGTTGTGTTTCCTTTTTAACCAAGGTAATAATCTGATGGAGAGCCCAAAGATATTTGCTCCACCTCAATATCTTTTAAGAAATACCATGTGTGATGTATGTGCATGATGTCTTAGATCAATATGGAACCCAAAGTGTATATGCATTGAGTGTGTATGCCCCAAGTATTTTGAAAATGTTTTTTGATAATTCTCCTTCGTTAAACCATAGGGTTCTTGTAGTTACCAACTTCCCAACATTGTTTGTTGCCAATTATCGTATCTCCAAGTTGATTTGAATTTGGTAAAAAATGTCAGCAAGATCCTGATGTCTATATCGTAGGTGCAGGCGTAGGTATGGACGTAGACGTGAGCGTTGGAGTGGACGTTATCATAGTCGTAGACGTAGGCACAGGCGTAGAAATAGGCGAGGATTTTCTTTCGATGTTTTTCTAACCAAAATAAACTTTGATGCTTTATCAAATGTTCTTTGGTGTTTCCGTATGTTAGGTGCATCAAATGTTGTGAATGACCTTGAGATTTTGATATGGTTATGTGTATTTCATGCTTGATGTGAAGCTTTTTAACGGGAAATCTACTGTCGAGATTCAATTGAGAACTACCTTCTGTCGAGGTCTTCTGGATAATCATCTCCCAAGATTAACCAGGAGAATCTATTGCCGAGATTCTGGCGAGAAAATACCTTATGTCGAGGTCTTCTGGAAAATCATCTACCGAGATCAACCAGGGAAATCTTATGCCGAGATTCAATTTGAGAAATACCTTTTGCCGAGGTCTTCTGGGAAATCAACCGTCGAGATATACCCAAGAGAATCTACTGTCAAAATTCAACGTAGAATTACCTTCTGCTGAGGTCTTCTATATAATCAATTGTCGTGATCAACCAGGGGAATCTACTGTTGAGATTCAATTATGAGCTACCTTCTACCGAGGTCTTCCAGATAATCAACTTCCGAGATTAACCAAGGGAATCTATTCCCGAGATTCGATTGAGAATTACCTTCTTCCGAGGTCTTCTAGATAATTATTTACCGATATTAACCAGGGGAATCTATTGTCGATATTCAATGTAGAATTAAAACTTGTTTTGAAAATGATGATTATCTCACATGAATATGGTTTTATGTTATGCATGTATATTTGATTGATGCATGTAATTATTGATTGTTGCATGTAATGAGTCAACTGAATATGTATCGATGGATGTTGGATTGTGAAAATCGAATGCGTAATTGGGCTTCACTTTTTTTTTGAGATATTCTCAATCGATGTTGTCACAATTCATCAAATGGATGAGATGATACATATAGTTTGATTATGGATCGAAGAGCCCTAATGCATGATTTATGCAACTTTATGTTTTATGATTATGACTCGAGTGGTTTTTTTTTGTGCCCCTGTGATGGGTTGTGGATGATTAAAGTGTAGAGGCTTACCTATGTAACAAGGTTGCTTATCACATAATGGTTGAATGTTATGCCATCATGAATTTCCGATACTCGATTTGTACTTGAAGATTGTTGATGTAGGAGAAAGATCTATTGGAGGTTATGAAAGTACGAGGCGAGCTTGCCCATATGTGTACTATCTGTTACCTTGGAAAATCTTAAGGTATTCAAGTAAGTGTAGTAAATGAAGATATTATCATAAGCTAAGATTCATCCTCCAAAGTAAGGGTTATTTAGGAAACGGGAGCCAGTGTTTGAAAAGCTGGTTTTATTAAGTTGGAGTTAATGCTTAAAAGGAGTCACACTGAAACTGTCGAAACTGAACTATGTCGACTAGAAAGAAATAAAAGAACATATGTCACGAGGTCAAAATTGGTTTATTCGACCAAAGGGTGAAAGACAAGGATTTGGTCGAAAATGGTTTTAGTCGACAAAAAAGGGTTTCTTGGACTTAGAGGAAGTATGGTTATTCTTTTCCAAAAAGAAAGTGTTAAAGCAAGGCAGAAGCGGGTTACATTCAAGAGGTTTAGAGGAATCATGGGCGGTTACCAGCAATCCAAGATGTATTTAAGCGCCAAATAGGTGGAAATTCAAAATCATGAGCAGTTACCAGCAATCCACGATGTGTTTGAGCGCCAAATAGGTGGTAACATCTAGTGAAGCAGTTACCACAAGATGTTAATATTGGTCGTAGATTTTATCTAGGTA